ACCGTCAGGATACTTAATTTTATAATTTTTTACAATTTGTAGTAGGTACTGTTTTTGTTCTTCATCTTTAGTTAAAATGCTGTTATATTCTTCAATTAGCTTTACTCCTCTTTCTGCCGTATCATTAACAACATTAATATGGGCTACAGTATTTGCTCCATCATTATACGCAGTGTTGTTAATCCATTCATCTGGTTCATCATTTAAAAAATGTGTGTCAATACCGAAACGTTCAAAAAATATTTTTGTATTTTTCGTTACAAAATGACTAAAATCTTTTGTAACTAAAGATGAAACTTCATGAGGTTTAATTGATATTTTTTTTACTATTTCATCTGAGCCATCGTTTGAAGTTAAAGCTTTAACCATCTTTTTTTTTAAATCGGCAGATACATTTTTATCAAAAAATGAAAAACCTATTGCTTCATCAGACAAATACCATAAATGTCCACAGAATTTTTTTAGAATTGTTTTTGAAACATCGGAGTCATAATAGTTATATACATCTTTAATAAAATTAAAATCTTGGTATGGTGCTGTTGCAGCATTTGGAGCCCCAAACCACGCTTTCACGTAAAGACGAATCAAAAATATACATATGTCCCTTAGCCCGATTTCCTCTTTTATATTTAAATTAAACTGATCTCTAAATAAATATATTTTTAATGAATATAACGCTTTTGCCATCCATCTAGCGTGATGAATAGCACCAGGTTTTTTTATAGTGATTTCATCAGATGGGCATCCTCCGAGAAAAAATTAATATTAATTCTATTAACTCTTTGTAGTCATCTCTGTAATGATTTTTTTGTAGTTGTTGCGTACAAAATTCTATTATATCGTTACTTACGTCCATAATTTTTAATTGTATATCATTGTTTGCGGTACCAATTGTTATTTTTTTTGAGTCTAGTTTTTCCCAAGCTTGCTGGAATCGTTTAAACAGCGTAATATCTGGACCCGAAAAACTGGTCATCTTCAATTCAAATATTGATCGTAGTATAAGTTCATAAATATGATGACGACATGGCAAATAAAGAAGGCTTTTATTTAGTAACTGTTCCAAAATAATACAAGCCCCATTTATTCTGCCTGTATCCTAAACTAATCTCTAGACTAGAGAATTTAGGCTGTTTAATTTACGTGAACTATCGGAATTACGATAAGGAGCCGATACAAATAATATCAGTGAATTATATGGGTATTCATTGCAGTTATTACTCTAATTTATAAAAATAACTTTTGGAGTTATCGATAAGTAAACAATACAAATTGTAATAATTTACGTTATAATATTGAAAAATATCGAAAAGACCGATTTTTAAACACTAACATTAATATATCTCACCAACAGTTGAAGATATTAAAAAATATATAGAACAAATATTTTCGTAAATGTAGTTTTAATTAATTTAGTATCTATAATAAATTTCAATTTGATCAACGGTTTATGATATAAGTACAAAAATTTGAAAAATTTTGAAAAATTGTAAAAGTTCAAACTTTAAGTTCAAATAGGCACGGGTTAACTTTGTTTGATTGATTCAATATTTCGTGTAGTTAATTATTGTATGTATATACACTGTTTTAAGGGGTGAGATGAAAACATTTTTGAACTTAAAATTTAAGGACCACCCTAATGGACTTATTATAATATTACAAGATATTCGAAGTATATTTAATATATATTTATTTAGCTGTTAGTATCTTATTGATTGATTAGTAGGTACCGACTAATTTCTAAAATGATTGTTTTTAAATAATATTTTGTTAGTGTAGTATTAGTTTGTCAATCATAATAGCTCAAGTTTAAATATTTTGTTATTATTATTTGAGCGTAAGTACCTAATTTGTAAATGCAATAATTTATAGTACTAATTATGAACTAAGCATTTTTTTTTTTTTTTATGTAATTCTTTTTTTTAATCTACATATAACTAATATTAATGAAATAGGTGTAATAAATAGATAATAATTGAATAAATTTTTTTATTTTTTATTTAGTTTTAGTCTAATTATCAATTAACTAAATATATAAGGTAAATTTAAATTCAACCTAATCATGTCATAAAGTGTCGCTATTGGGTGGCTGCTTTTATCACGTTTATCTCAAGCTATATTATATAATATTACCGCATGCGTACTTATCGTAATAATTTATTTACAGATTGTACGCTTTAAAATAAAAAGTTTAAAAAAAAATAAAAAAAATAAAAATATTAGTCTAATACATAGTATATGTAACATATTATATCTCTATTTTTATTATATCGTTATACTATATCGTTTAAATTTTTTTGTGTCATATTATGTTAAAATTATTATAGGTTAAGTTGTATAGCCACTCCAATCATATTCAAGATTTATAGATAAAAATATAAATATTTGTATTAAACCATGGTCATATTTTAGATATTATCATGGAGAATAAAAAAAATGTACTCAAAGTCTTATCATTTTTAGCGCTGGCGAATGACCTATATATATATGTGGGTTATTTTTTTCAAACTCTGAAATTCATCTTTTCTTATCACTTATTGTGTTTAGTAATTGTGCAGTGTACAAGTATACAATAGTGAATAGAATTTAATGTTGAAAGTTAAAATTCAATAGTTTCTCAAACTTGGTTTTTATTTTGTGCTTACAAACGTTTTAATGTTGTCATAATTCATATGACTAATTTACTATTATGAAAAGTTGTGTATCAAAGAATACCGTCAGGTTTCAGGTATGAATTGAAATTATGCATTTACTGTTATGATTATTGTACTACTTTTAATTTGCATCGTCTATGCACCATTGTTCCGATATATAATTACCAAATTAAATATGCCAAAATGATTGTAAATATTATAAATTATAATTTATTACCATGATATCGTACTATTCAGTACTTTTGTAGTCAATGGATGATGAAATGATGATAATTTATATTGCATACATATTATGATAATTAATATTAAAAATTTTATTAACTAACCGTTATACATTTGATGAATAGTTTTAAACCCATAATATTTTATCTCATAACAATAACATTAATTAAAATTAACATTATCATACATATTGTTAATTAGGTATTAAAGAATAACTGACCAAATTAATACTTAATAGGTACCTATTAATTTTTATTATATTATTGATTTGATTTTCATTGTTTTATAGGTATTAAGTGGTATACATATTTGATACCGTCGTTTTCAGAAGAAACCATGTCTGAATATGACGATGAGGATATGGAATATTCAGATCAGGATGATTATGAAGATTATTACAATGCTGATCGTGATGTAATGAGTCCACCACATAATCCTGATGCTGAATATTTTCCTGTTCAATGCCTTTCAGTTGACGAAGTTGAAAAATTTTTAAATGAACTTGTTGAACAGTTATGTACTAGTATACATGTAACACCATCGATGTCAAAAGTTTTACTTTATGAAAACAAATGGGCAGTTCAAGAAGTTTTATGGAAGTATAATGAAGACCCTGATAAGCTTTTTGTCGCTTCCAGAATGAAAACATTACAGCCAGTATCAGTTAAAACAAAAAGAGATAAATTTGTATGTCCAGTTTGTGTAGGACCAGTAGCTGAAGAATTAGGAATTACTAGTTTAGCTTGTGGACATTGTTATTGTGATAACTGCTGGCGTTGTCATTTTGAAAATAAAATAAAACAAGGCGTAAGTACAGAACTTTCTTGTATGGCATTAAACTGTGAATTACTAGTACCAGAAGAAATAGTTTTATCGACAGTTAATAAACCAATTTTAAGGAAAAAATACCAACAATTTGCATTCCGTGAGTATATTAAATCACATCCATTATTACGCTTTTGTCCTGGAGCTAACTGCACTGCAGTCATCAAATCTAAAGAGTCTCTTGCCAAGAAAGCTATATGTACTCAGTGTGAAACTTCGTTTTGTTTCAAATGTGGAAATGATTATCATGCTCCTACAGATTGTGCCACCATTAAAAAATGGATTACCAAATGTGCAGATGATAGTGAGACATCAAATTACATTGCAGCTAACACTAAAGACTGTCCTAAATGTAATATTTTTATTGAAAAAAATGGTGGCTGCAATCATATGCAATGTTTAAGTTGTAAATTTGATTTTTGCTGGATGTGTATGGGAGATTGGAAAGCGCACGGCACTGAATATTATGATTGTTCTAAGTATAGAGAAAATCCTCAGAATGGTTCAGAATCTGCTAGAGCTCGCGAAGCATTGAAAAAATATCTTCATTACTATGAACGATGGGAAAATCATTCTAAAAGTTTACAACTGGAAAAACAAACACTTGATAAAATCAAAGAAAGAATAAATAGTAAAGTTATGACAAGTAAAGGCACATGGATTGATTGGCAGTATTTATTAGATTCTGCTACTTTACTAGCAAAATGCCGATATACTCTTCAATATACTTATCCATATGCATATTATATGGATAATGGACCAAAGAAAGAACTATTTGAATATCAACAAGCTAAACTGGAAGCTGAAATTGAAAATTTATCATGGAAGATCGAAAGAGCAGAAACTACTGACAGAGGTGACTTAGAAAATCAGATGGATATTGCTGAGAAAAGAAGAGCTACTATGCTTCAAGATTTTTTCCATATTTAACTGAAGTTTGTATTTCCTTATTCAATTGTAAAATTACCTTGAATATATTTATTTTTTTTTATGTATATAAATAAATACATTTTTTTTCATTATTTTAAGTAACCTTTGTAATATGTATTTTAAGATTTTTTTTGATAAACAAGAATTTGGAATTATTTAAACAATGTATAAATTAAATTAATAACCAAATATTAAAAATTAACTAATAATATTATACATTATTATTGTATAATTACTTATAAGTTTTCCTTTAAATCATTTACATTACTATTTATAAACTAATAACATTTAAATTAATCATAGTTAATACATTAAATGTTAAAAAAATTATTAAGGAAAAGTAACTTATTTTTTCATTTTTATAATAAACCATGAGAAAGTCTAATAATTTAATTTGGTAATATTTCTAAGGCTTTCAAGTTATTTGATAAATGAGCCAACTGCCAAATATCTTGACCATTTTTATCTTTAGTACTTAAATCTGAACCATGTGAAATAAGGGTTTTGATCACATCCAAATTGGCAAACATCAACACTAAAAAACAATGTATTCATTTATACTATTTGTGACAACTTATATAGACAATTAACTTAACATTTTTTTTTTACAAATTTCAACTTTTAATTTTAACATTTTTATTCTTAATATACTTACCTGCTCTCATTAATGGAGTCCAACCTTTAGAGTCTACTGAGTTTACATCACCCCAATTTCCTTCCAGGAGCATCTTAACTGCGTCATTATGAGATCCATCTACTGCATAATGAAGTGCTGTTTTTAAATTTCTAATTATAAGCAAATATAATATAAGATGATTAAAAAATATTTAAAAAAAAATGTCAATAATGATAGGTCAGACGTACATATCTTTTAAAGTAAAGTCGGCATCATTGCGAGCTAATATTCTTATTATATCTCCATGACCATGGTAAGCAGCTGTCATCAACGGTGTAATTCTTGTAAACAAATTTGGTAAATTCACATCTGCTCCGTATTGCAATAGAGTAAGTACCATGTCGTTATGGCCAGCTGCACAAGCTTTGGACAAACTACACTCGCCCAACTCGTTGTAAATGTTTATATCATGAGCTCTTGTATCTAAGAACTCCTGAAAGAGCAACGGTAAATTTTGATAGGCACTATGATGAAATGCAGTGATACTCGGACATTCACCTAAATAACATGATATATGTTACATGGAATTTATGTCTATAGTGAAATTTTAATTTTAAGAAAGACTTAGTATTGGCCTTATATAACTATTCTTATCTTGAAATGATGATTTATGAATTGTTTGTGTTGTATATTACATTAACATCAGTGTATTTATAAATTATTAAAAAACCAAAATGAAATTATAAATATCCTACTTTTTGTAGTTAAACTGACTGTAGCTGTATCCAACACTGAATTCTCTGAACTTACATTATGCAATTCTATTTGTAGATTAAATTTGTAAAGATGGCTACCAGATAAATTTTTAACACAAAAATAATTATGAAATCCCCTAAAAAAATCATTTACTCTATAACTAATTAAATACTAAGTTTTTATAGTTAAATATAATAACTTGCACCTGTATATAATCACAGAATTTTGATTATTTTCATTCATAGTCAATTTGAATAGGGGCTTTAGAATATCTTGCGGCTTGTTCCATTCTAAGTCAATGGATCGACGATCGACATTCAACACCTTCAAACTTAACTAGAAAATATTTTATAAAATGTACCACAACAGATATACCTGCTGACATAATTTCTCAATTGTATCAAAATGAGCAAACAAATATCCATTTTTTTGATTAAATTCAAAAGTGATGTAACTAATAGCCAATGGTAACAGACAAACCCTGATAGATATTTTGAAAACAAATTTTAATTTAACTCTCATTTAAGGGGCCGAAGAAGAAATCATATACATGTAAGCTAAAAAAATGTGGATACATAAGTTTTATATTAAACACAGAAATCTAATATACTTAGAATACATAGGGTTTATAATTTTAGAATTTATTCCCTAGTTTCTTCAAAAATACTCTTATATATCATAATATAAATACTACCTATATACCTATGTAAATTATAAGAACACTTTGTCTTCATGTTGAAGTAGGTAATATTTATATACGTAGTATTTACTATGTTAAAAATATAGTATACTATGCTGTAAAATATTTTTCTGAGAATTTTAATACATGCAAATTAAATTTAACAAATATTTAATTATTTATAAATATTTAAAAGTATTTATATTTATCTATATGCCTATAAACAGATATTAATGTAAACATGTTTTTGGGAGCCTCCCTTATATTATATTTACCTTAAAGACCATAATAATTCTTAAAACAATGAACTTAAAATGTAATACATTTTAATGATAAACATTCATTTTTTATTAAATTAACTCAAACATTTACACAAACCTACAATATAGAAATAAAGATTTGTAGACAGGTATTACTACACCATTTGTTTGTTCCCTTAGCAACCACAATAATTATAATCACTAATCACTTACCTTCATGGAATCTTGAAAGTAGACATTTAAGAAGATTAATGTTTATTCTAATTTCTAATTTGTATTTAATTAAAAATATATTAAAACTTAGTATGGTCCTTACAACGCACGTAACAAAATCATCAACTTTAAGAAAATACAGCTGAGTGGTTACTGATACAAGTTGACAGTTAAGCAATTTTTGCACTGTTTTTTTTTTTTTTTTTTTTTTTTTTTAACACATTTTTGATATTTTACTGATAAGTTGAATACATAATTGCTATGTCATGCATTTCAATCCAGATTTTTAAAGAAAAAAACAGCAGATAATATAATAATAGAAAAGAACATATTATAATAACAATGTATATAAAATACTTAATATTTAATAATGTTCGGAATTTCGATAGCTGAGGGCTCTATCATTCATTCCCATAAGATATATTACCAAAAACAAAATTATATTTATTTACAGGATCATTGTGCTGTAATTTTAATGTATATATTATACATTATAATTAATAGGTTTAGTAATAATTATTATTTGTAATTTAATCACAACATAATATTAATAAAAATAAACATTTACAATTTTAAATAGTATTAATAATAATATGTAAACAATAAATATAGTTTATTTGATTGGTAACTCTAAAACGAATTAACAAAAATAATTACTCTGTATATATATATTTTTTTTACAAATTTGTCAATTATAATATTTGAGACGTTGAACTTTGGCTACAATAAATAATTGCGCCAGTAAAATTTAAAGCAGCCGCTAAAATGAAAACTGGAAACCAACGGCCATGAGATGCAGTCACAAGTTCTGCCGTCAGAGGACCAGATAGTATTCCTGGTATGGTAGCCTAAAATATTTTCAAAACAATCAAATTAAAATAATTTATTTTAAAATACATTTAAGTGTAAAGATTAGTTTTAATACATGAATTTAAAAACAACTACATTCAAAAGTTAATGATAATTACTAAAAAATAAATTAATAAGATTGAGTATTTTAAAAGTGTTTTAAATCATAAAATTAATCATTCATACAGTAGCACCAATTACTATGTATTAAGTATAACGGATGCTATACCTATTTTAGATAGGTGATACTATTGCAGACGATAGAAGTTCATAGAGTATATAGGTATATAAGTTAAAGATATTTTAATATAAGTACATTAAGTTTATCCCAAATTTTAGAGTAACAAATTCACTGTTTACTGGGATACTTTATATTTTAGATTTTATTCTTATGCAATAAATTTAAAGCTGATATTAGTGCCGCTAAATTTATAAATAGAAATTATTAATAACATTTACCAGAGTATTGGATACTGAAAAAGTAATGCCAGCATGATTAGGAGCCACTTCAGAATGATTACTTAAATGCCCAGCTGAATTACATGCACATAGTCCCATTGATATAGAAATAAATCTATCACATAAAGTAATTAAATTTTAAAGCATCAATTGATTATAAAATATGTATTAATAATAAGTAGGCCTTACATTATGGCTGCTTCTAAGCTATTCACTGTACAAAATAGAATTAGAAATATTGCTGGTCCCACTAGACCTATAGTAGTCATAAGCCTTCGAACAGTTAATACTGACCATCTGCCATAAATTAGTTTATCTGCATAATTTCCTGCAACTATATTCAAGATAATATAAAAAAATTTAATTTTAAGAAATAAATAATTAAACATGTAACTTAAAATTATCTAGCATTTTGGATTTAAAATTAGAATAAATACAAATTTAAATTTTAGAACTTTTTGGTATTTTATACCTGTTTAATTATTAGTTTATAATAAAAGCATTATTATATCATAATTTAAATCGTAGAAAATTAATCAATTTCACTTTTCAAAGAAAAACAATTGGAAAAAATCATTAATGAGATATACGTGTTTTGAAATACAAAACCAAAATCGAATAACCATCACAAAATATTAAAAAACATCAACAATAAATATACATTGATAAATAAATTACTAGAAATAGTGTAATTTTTCAGACATGTATCTAAATAATATTAAATTGAATATTTTAAAATTATGCATTGTAACAATTAAGTACAAACAAAAATCAAATGATTTTTTTAGGCATACTGCTAAATGGATTAAACGATTCAAAATCATAAAAATATAACATACATTATGTTCATATTATACAAGCATATCAGGTGAAATATATTTTTGAAAAAGTTTGAATATTTATTACCTATCAACAACAGTTTATGTTTGGCATCAATATATGTATAAATAAAATAGTATAGATACCCACATCAAAGAAGTATTTATTAACATTGAGATCTTTAAAATTATTTTTACTTTATTTTCATTGATCTTTTATACATATATTTTTATTTGAATAATTAAGACTTACCAATACCAAACACTGAATTGAATATATATGGAACAGCTGTTAAACTAATACTATGTGAATTAGCACCAAGGTAACGCAAATAAGTAGGTAACCAATGCATTATTATGTAGTTGGACCAATTCATTGTAAAGTGAGCTATATATATCGCCCATAAAGGCCAATATATAAAAAATTTTCTCCAATGTATACTAGAATACTATATAAAAAATAGTAAGTTTTATTATTTTAATAAAAATAAATGTATTATAAATATTAATTACATTTTAACATAAAATAATACTAAATAGTGTTAAGGAAATTGGATACAAATATTTGTTATCTTACTTTTTACATGTGAAACACAGCAAAAAATTAAAAACTACACATTTTTTTTATCCATACGTCCTATATATGTATAGAAGTGATAAATATTATAAAATCAGATTTAAATTCAATGTTGAAATTTTATAAGACCAATAAGTAATTATATTTTTAAAAATTTTCAAACTTCAAGTCAAATTTATTGAAATTAAAGAATAAAAAAAAAACCTGTTTGATCTCATGTATATTTGAATACGTTAAATTAAAATAATTTTTATAATATTTATTGTTTTACTATATCACATCATACTGATGACAACAAAATTAGTAGTTTTTAATAAATTACAACTGTGAAAGACAGACAACCAATACTGATATCTATAATGCAACTAAGTTAAGACAATGACCAGTTAACATAGGACAAATCTGGTTAATTTCAAAAAGTAGGTCATTGTTTTAACTTTGTCTCTGTATAAGATGAATATATAATAAGAATAGCATAGGTATACATAATATGTGAATATCATACTTGAGGAATAATAATTAATGGAAGCTCATCATTTTTTCCATAATCTTTTTCTGAATATAATGAAATCCATATAAGTGACCAAACAATACCAATTGAACCAAATAAATAAAAACTAGTTTGCCACATTAAATGTGGGCATATCTAGATAAAAAAAATTATTTTTACTATTAAATATAAGTAACAGTTAATATTATCATAGATTTTTATTATAGATATAGCTACTGGCAAGTAAAGAATGAAAAGAGGTAATGTGAATACTTCCCATACCTTTGGAGTAAATTAACATTATTTATTATACAATTATTTCTTACACTACCCAGATAATTAATACTACATTATTTACTCTGCTGAGTAGATAAAATACTTATAATTTACTAAAAAATAACAGTAGTTAATAAATGTCTTTGATGACACACATGTAATAAGATATTGTATAATTGTAGATATTATTAGTTACAATTTATGAGAGTGCATATTTCACATACAAAATTTCATTGATTTATCAAGCCAAGTTGTCAAACATAATATTAATTATTAAAAATGAATTGATTTATTTATCAATTAATATTATTTGTTTATTTCATTATATTTCATTAAATTTAATACCTGTTTAATAAAAAACTTTAATATATTTTTAGTATTAAAATAAATAAATAAATTGATAAAATACATTAAAATCTATAAAATTAAACATATTATATACATAAATACTATGTTTAATATTTAATTACTAATCATCTTCCAAATATATAAGAAAAAAATGATTTGTTAAATTATTATTACCTCATTTTATTAACTATTTACTTTATCCATTGTTTTGTGAAGATTATGTACACATCACTTAGATAAAGTAAATAAAACATGAATGCTGGGGCGCTATAGCTATATACTTGTCCCAATAAGTACCTTTAAATGTATCTTAATTAATCTACTTAAAATTAATGTGAATTATTAATGAGAGTTATAATTCCCTAGTAAAGTAGTAGAACTATTATCCATAGAAAATAACTATAATAATCATAAAATGAGCCTCCAATTAAGCTTGCAGTGAGGTCTAATATATATTTATATTTCATGTAATATTTTTGTAAGAAGCTATTTATAGTAGCTAATGAGAAAGTAAGTTGATTATTTTTAGCAACTATTTAATATATTTATATTTATTTGCTTTAAAATTATTTAACATCCTATATTTTTTTTTACTAATCTACACCTGAATATTGTACAATTTGGGTATTTTAATTCAGAAATAATGTGCCAAAAATAAATAGTTTGTACATTATTCAAATAATTTGAATATTCATAATAAAAGTATGGTAAAAAGCTTGTATTCAATACATTGATTTGTATAAGTAAACATTATTAACCATTAAGCAATTAACTTACCACAGTTGCAACTGTCTGGCCAACAGAACCTGCGGCCACTAAGTAACCAAATGCACTTGAACGTTCTGTTATTGCTATATTATTAGCAAAAATATGAAATATGGTTGGTAATCCTAAATTTTATTAAAAATGAATTCAAGAATTTTTTATTAACTCATAAATAAGCTTATTTAAAATTGATTTACCTAATCCTTCACCAAATCCTGATATTACTCTGCATAAAATCAATGCGAATGTGTTATGAGATACCCAAGGTGTGGCGACAGTTGATATTGACCACAAAAAAACTGACAATAATAAAATTAATTTACCACCAAATTTCTTAGCAGCACAAGCTCCAATAACCTGAATAAATAAAAAAAAGGATATTGTTTATAATAAATACTTATTATTTATCATTCATTTTGTAAGGTTTATAAGTATATATAATTTAGTTACTTGACTACTTAAATAGCCAAAAGCAAATGCTGATAATATCCATCCTTGCCAATGCATTGTCCATTTGAAATAACTAGTCATTGGTATTATTGCAATTGGCATAATAACACGATCAGCTGCATTTATAAAATTTGCAATAGAACATAATACCACAATTTGAGTGTGACTCATTTTAGAAGACATAACTTATGTCTAAAAACAGTATTAGTTAATCAATAGAATGAATGTTATTAACATGTTTGGATCATACATTTTTCATAGTAAAAAGATAAAAGCATTTTAGCTTTTTAAAAGCCACGTCTTCATATTTTTCAAACATAGTGTATAGTTTTTTTACTGACAACATTTAAATTTAAAAAAACATAGTTACAAAATAATTTTCACGTAATATTAATATTTAATAATGTATCGAAACAATTAAAACAAAAACAAAATGCTAATGATTTAAATAAAAAAACATTTTCTTTAGGTAGACGAATAATAATAACGATATAATATTATATTATTATTAAATATAAATTTATAATACAGAGTATTACACGATTCTACTTTGACGATAAAAAATAAATACAAAATATAATATACAAAGAAAAAATTAAAAGATAAGCATTATCATTATCAACTTATCAATTTAAATATTTATATTTTGGTTACGGTCACGGTTATCCATCCACATAAAATTACATATAAAAATTGTTTAACATGTCTACGCAGTACGCAGTTATCAAATGTTATAATTTTGAATTTCAGAGTGAATAGAAAATCCAATTTGAAATCTATCTTTTTACTCACAAATTTATATTACGATTATTATCTTAAATCTTGACCGTGATCGGTGTGAAATGTGAATGGTGTATCACTGTATCGTGATATCGTGATATACCGACTACAAAATCTCTCTTCTCCATTCCTAAAATATAACTAAAATTAACTTATACATAATTAACTATAAATTGAAACATATCTTGACGTGACACTTTTGCTGTGTTCTTAGAGTTTTAACGTTTAAATTTTTTGTTTGTGAAGTTATCGAAGAAATTGTAGCTGGATAATACGATAGTTTATAATTTTTGTTTCATATCAAGTCTCTTATTAGTTATTACATATTATGTTTTATATGTTTATCGTAAAATTATTGATTGTCTAAACGTAACTGTTCGAACATTTAAACAGGAAATCCTCTCCTAATAATTTTAAAATAACTAGAAATTAATACTCTGATTCTTCTTGACATGTCTACTTGCCAGTCTGAGAATGCAGATGTTAGTAGTGACGATGAACAAGAAATAATGAGAAGAAATTGGAAAAAAAATATCTCTGAAATTGAAAAGGTACATAAATAAAAATGTATTTGTATTAAATTATTCTCTAACAAACCCAATTTTATAGACAGCATTTAGAGAAGGAGCTACATCTACAAATCAATCTGATGTGATGTTCCAACTAGGATTTGATAATGGATATAAAGATGGGTTTAAAGATGGTTATAAAAATGGGTCTTACAAGAGTACTTTAATGTAAATATGACTATTCTTATTACTAATAAATATAAAATTACCCATTATACTATTTTGCTTGTAATGATAATAGATTTAATATTTATTTCAAGGCTGTTAAATAAATTCAATTTTTCGGAAGACTGTGAAGAAAAATGAAATATTTCAATAGTCTTCTGCATCAAGAATATGAATATCAAATATTTAATTATTTCATAAGAACAAACTTTGGAGAATATTATTTGATATTATGATTTTAAGTTATAAATCAACTAAGATACTATAATCATTGTCATTGAAAGAAATTACCAATCAAAATATCTTAATTCATTTTTAAGAAAAAAAAAAACTTATATTTTCTTTTTTTATTTTATTTAAATTTATAGTACTTCTAAATTATCTCAATCATCAAGATATTTCTATAAATATCCTACCAATGTGATTTTTTTTTCTTTTCAAAAATAAACTTTCATCGATCTCTACAATTAACTCTGATTCGCCTATTTTTCCTTATAGTTTATTTTGATAGCCATTGTCCATACTTCACGAAAATAATTATTCCCCTGTATTTTCATTTAAATTAAGGTTTATATATTTTTATTAATTTTTATTTATAACGGTTTAAATACAAAATTAATAAAATATGTTATATTTAATATTTATGAATAATCGAAAAATATTTTACAATCTGTTTAAATTATTTATGTATATATAAAAAAAAAAATTTAATCTATAAATGATTTTACTTTTTAATATAATATATATCATTATATCAAAGATAATATTATGAAATTGAAAACATTAAAATAATTAATAATAATACATTTTATCCAATAGTGTATGGTTACATTTAAGGTTGAATAATCCAAGTACATTTTTTTACGTACATTTAATTAAATGTACTTAGAAAAATTATGGGAAAATACTTTTTCCGACAATTAGTCTAAACTGAAATTTGGTATCCTTATTCTTTAATCAGTCATTAATGGGTAATTGATAATTTTTTAAATATTGTTTAATTAATATGCAATTATTAATTTTGGATTAATTAGTATAAATGAATTACAACACATTTTTGTAAACAAATATATTAAGTTATAATTATTTTAAAAAAAAATTATTTTTTTAAATTTAGTTTAACATGAAAAAGTCTATTTAAGACCAAATAGAGTTTATGTACAATTAAACTATAATAGAACAATTAATCACTGTCATCATTGGGAGGGTTTAGTGGCTTGTGGCTCTCTTCATCTGAACCATATGGCATATCTTCTTCAGAGTCATTAACCATTGAGAATGCAGGATTATCTTTTGTTATTGAAGACTCTAAAAATTGTCCAATAAAAAACAAATTAGTTTTTTGCGTATATATTTATTTACTACTTATTATTAAAATAATATAACATTTACCAAATCCTGGTTTTTTTGTTGGAGAGTAAACCGCAGCTAAAGTAAACACATAGAAATTACATATCCCATAAAAAGTCATAAATAATGCTGATGTCATATATTCTGTGTTCAAGTCAGCAGCAAATGAGTCTTCAATCAATCCAAGTCCATATTGCATATGTGTTATAGTTGAACATATTACAAGTGATATGACCATTGAAATAGTTACAAATTTCAGTCTAGCATCTATAAAAACAATACTATGTTAAATTATTTCAACTGTAAATTAATTTCTTTACTGTTTGAATACTGACCAAAATATGGCATTGAACGCAAATCACTATATGCTCTCAAAATCAAGCATACTAAATATACTATGTAAATAATTACAAAAATGCCTACACAGGTTTTGATATTCTATAAAAAATTAAATAAATTATTACATTATTATAACTTCAATAATTATTTTTAATTCCTTACGGTGTATGCGCTAGAATCAATCTCGTAACTGAATGCTGGATCATCAAATTCATTCATTCGACGGTATTTGGCCATAATAACACCACATATCCAAAATGGACCTACTAAAATTGCTTTTGGGAGATAAAATGCAATCGGTTTTCTTTCATTCTATTAAATTAATTTAACAATTATTATAAATTTACTAATTTGTAAAAAATAAAATGTCATACTTGGCGTAGTCCATGATATATACAAAGCCAAAAAAATAAAATTGCACAGATAAATGTTACTTGGAAGACACCATCTAACATTCCAATTAGTTGATTACTTGTAAGAAGCGTCAAAGGAAAAATTGGATCTAAAACATATATTATTAATCTACATTTAGATGTATCTATCAAATTTCTTTGAAATTATTTTTAATTTATGTACCATTGAATAATATTAACAGTGGCAATAAAACAACAGTCCATTTTTGTTCGTACGACCAATCTACCACTGGAAATTTCCTTAACGAATTCGCAAAGCAACACTAAAAGCAAGTTACATTTTTTATTGGTACATTTTGTACAGAATGTATTCATTAAGTAATTGTTAAAATTATACTTACAAGCACTCCAAAAGCACTGAGTAAATAAATAAGTCTGAACCATATTTCCATCTGAGTGTAACCAGGATTGTACGATTTGTACTGCACAACAATTTATTATAATTTAATATTATTATTTACTACCAATTTAAATTCTATTTATGCAAATATGTTATAATTTGAAAGCTTATACATCACTCACATAAAATATGACTTCTTTTACTTGGTACTTTTGATGAAACGTCTCTAGATTATAAAAATCTACCTCAAACATATAATGAGTATAGTGTATGTAACCAATATGAGCAATAGGCACTTGGCTACACATCTGTTGTTTACAAAGTAAATGTCTTGTCCTGTAAAATATTTAATATTATGTTTAACTGATATACATAGAAATATTATTTTAATATTCTCTGTCACCTGTTATTTTTAAATACTTTTACTATATCAGTGGTTTTATGTTGTGGAGTGATTCCCTTGATCGCCATGCTGATCTTGAAACTTTTATCATAAGTCTCATCTGTTAAAATTAAAATACAATTAGAAGTAACTAAATTACTTTTTTATACTGTAAAATCTATAAAATATATTGAATATATACCTATTATTAGAGTCAAAAAGTGTTTTTAAGTTAAAGAAGTGGAGTTAGTTGTTTTATATTATTTTTAATCTATATTATGTAAATATAAATTAAGCAGCACATATATACAAGTTGATACCTACTTGAAATACATAGGTACATTTGAAAAATTAGCAAATCGAATACAAAGAATTACCACCGAGACTACTAACAATTGAACTAGATGTTATACAAAGTAAACAATGTAAAACTGGTTAGAATTTGTTGACTATAAATTGAGTGAAACTAAAAGGTTATTATTCGGCTTTCAGACATACGAATAAATATATAAATAATTAAAGTACACTATGTGCAGAAAAAAATAAAATAATCCTTGTATAATTATTATTACCTACACAACACAACTTGCAGATACAATATGTCACACTCAGAAGGATGTTACGTTGTTTGTCAAGGTTTTTCTAAAAATTGTTTAAATGGCTTAGGTATATGCTATAAACTATAATAAAATAAGTAAGTAGGTAAATACCGTCTTTATTGTTCGTCTGCACGACTGCGATTAACCACAATCGTTGGTTGTACACTGACAGACTAGGAGTTTTCATGACGAATGGGCCCTGTGGCAACGATCCATTCGTGTTTTTCAATATTTCGACTCCGCTTATCTTACTCGTCACTGTGATTGGAGGTCCTGAAACGAATTTTTGTTTTCCGAGAAAAATCTAGTACGGTTCTTAAACATCATAGGTAAGTAGATATAAATAGATATAATTATCGTTGATTTAGAAGGTTCGTTGGTTGTATCTATGACGCGTAGTCAATTAGAATGATATAGGTAGTTAGAATGCCAAAGTTTGAATAATTAAATGATTAGAATATTTACGTAGAATACAAGTATAAATATAAATACGTATAAATGTATAATCGCATTCCTTATTAAAAGTATTTTAAATTTTTTCCATTTTAACAACTCGTTCGCGAAATTTACTAAATTTGGTCTTACCGAGAACGTGCGCGGAATTTAATTAGATATTTTTATTTCTATCTATGTATTAATTTGTTAGCTTAAGAAAATTAAACTAAGCATTTTGTATACAATTTAATTAGATGCTATTAAATTATTATTTATGTAAAAATATTTAAACTTTTTTCTTTTTTTTTCTTTTTTTTTCTTTTTTTTTTTTTTTAAAGGAATAATGTATATTTAAATTTAAATAATAAAATGTACAGGTATTAACCAACTCGTTAAATGATATATTATTGTAAAATGCATATTTTTATAACTTCTATTAGTCTTAGACTCAGCTATTTAAATAAATATTTAATTGTACATTAATATAAGGCGTCTAACCTGTCAAACCGATGAATAACACTAGTCCCATGGCCGTCAACAGGACGATAAAAACCATTACGAATTCCCGTTTATTCATTGAATACAAACGCATATGTACTGATCTGAAAACGTAAAAATATTATTTAGTTAATAGTGATAATAATGTTTATTCCACTTTAGTGTATATTTACAACCATATTATAAAATATAAACTTTATTATACTAATACGTTATACATATAAATGTATAACAAACATGTATCAAAATAAATGTATATCTAATATCTATCTAAAGTTTATATCATACGTATTGCAATTTTTGAATTACCGTTCGCATCGATCGTGGTGGTAGGCTGGAGAGATGTATCGATTGAAATCGCTGAACAGGTCATTGAATTGAGATACTAGATTTCTGATCATAGTCAAACAACTGCCAGTTGGGAAGTTGTAGCTGGTTTCAGAGCCTTCGATGGAATTCATATTTTAACCGTCTAGCCTATTATAGGTACATTACCAATTATTATAACAATAATAAAATTTGTTCATGGCTGTGAATTTGATGAACTATACAACCTTAACGCGTTTAAAATCCCTAAAAATAAAATCTGTAAAAAAATTACCAAAAACTACAAAATTAATATTTTAAAATTGAATTTTATGTTAAACCATTCAAAGTTTCTGAACAAAAATCTACATTTTACAATAAACTAAAAAACATGCATCGTTTCAAATTCACAGCTTTAAGAATCATATTTATATGTACATTTAACGATCATAGATTGAAATTTCGGTATACGTAGTTTAGTACCTACTTGCAGCTATATATATTATGTATATCATTAAAACACAATATAAAGTCATTACTGATGAAACATTTTTCCAAATGTGATATGTGATTAATTATATTATTGGATGAAATATACATATAAATACTTGGTACATAACTTAAATACAATATTATAATAGTTATACCCGGTGGTTCCGAGTAGATTTCCGATTTCAACAAACTAAACGCGCACCATCACTCGTTCGATCTATTTTACTGATCTACACTGTTGTTTATCTTGATTCCATAGGCATTTTTATATGTTTATTCTAATCGTACGTTCACCGTTTTACACATGCGTCCGATTTTCATGCGTAAATACACTATTCGCTCAAATGTCTTGTGTGTGTGACAACAGCTGTTATTGATCCAACCCTCCGTATACAACCCTTCCCCTCTCCGCTGTTCAACACAGTCCCCGTTATCAAGAATGTCATTTATTGTAGAATAAATATTTACATGCAGACGAATGTATATTTAAATTACATTATATTATATCGTTTATAAATAGGTACCATGGGTAGGTATATGATCGATATCGGTGTAAAACAAAAATATATCTATAGCAGAATAGATAATACGTATTATACCTTTACCTATAGCAGTTATGACTTATGAGTTATGATAGTATAACATACAATTTTTCTATTTATTAAATTACAATTATAATAAAGAAAATGACAGCAAGGAAACAAAAAAGAAAACGGATTAAACTTGAAGTGATTCAAATATTTTAAGTAATGAGTTAAATAATAAATTTAATTAACAATAGAATTCTTTGATATTATATGAAAAATCATTTAATTTATTTAACGGTATTATGTTATTATTTATAACTTTCATAACTTACTTTAAACCATTTTGTTTTTTTTTTCATTTATAGTTCATTATCCATATTTTTAACTCGAATCAAAAACTACAGTACCTACTCAAATCTGCAAGATGTATGTCCTATAAGTAATAAAAATACCACATACTTAAACAGTGGCGTCCTAAGTATACACTTTGAACATAGTAGCATTATTATAGCAATATTGTTATAACTACCTACATTTGATTTCTTTAAATGCCAAAGTGCCTATGATAAGTAGACAGGAACAACTATAGTAATGGATTGGAAATATAAATGCGAAGAAAGTATAATCTTTAGTAGTAAAGTTAAAGAGGTTGTTTATGTATTGATGACTTGGTATAAATCATTAAATACGTAAATTTTAAACTTTGATACACTACATCATTATAAATTTATATTTTATACTGTAATTTGAGCTCATATTATAAATAGTTAATGGTATCATTGATAATTTAAACATTTCTTGGTTTGGTAAATATAATTGTTTTATAAACTAGGTACGCAATTAAAACGCCGAACAGTGTTGTTATTAAATAGGTACGTTATTACTTATTAGACTATACTGTCTATATTAGGTAGTGTTGTATAGGTATTTTTGATAGTAAATGAATATTATACGAACTTCCAATATTTTTCGAAATAACAAACTCATAAAAAACGGATAGCATTTAAAAAAAGAAAACATTAGAAATATGTTATATGTAATATGATTTATTTTAATTTTTGGTACAAAAAAATCGTCTATGCTCTAAGGTAATAATTAATAAATAGGTTTTTAATTTTTATAAAAATAATCTTCAGTTGAAAGTCTCATATTCAAAGAATATAAAATAAATACCTATTATAAAAGTTACTTAATTTGTTGTTGTTTATTTAAGAACCTATAGAGTGATATAAATGTGCATTGTTCAAATAAAAAATATATTTACATGGGACATTTTAGGCAAAACTATATGTATTGTTTTAGTAAAAATATAACAATATTATGTACTTTATGTGATGTTTAAGTGTAGGTATATTAAATTACTCAAATAACATTCTTTGTTTTCTACTTCTGTATGTACATTACAGAATACAGAGTGCAGACTATAATACGAATTGTTTTATCCACGTAATAACCTCGTTAGTGATTTTGTGATAAAGTACAGATCGTCCATCTTCTGGTCCAAACTCGGCAAAACTCATCAGATGATAGTTACATACAACTATAGCGGATATGCAATTTTTCTATAAAAAAATTTAAAAAAATAATATTTTATATTCTTTAAGTACAGAGTAATTTACTTATATGTTCCATTGCTTCCACGCCCCCTTTTTCCTTTAATGATGAATTTATTTAAATTATGATTTTTGAAAGACTTTATTTTATACCTACTGAATAGATTTAGTCAATAGATCAATTGTTTTCTTACACGAGTAGGTATACTTAATATATGTGATTTAAGGAAGTATCATCACTTAACATAAACTTTATTTTTTTACTCAAGTATACCACTGTTTAATAATAAATTATTGTGAATAATTAAGGGATAAAAAGATAATTTTTTGAAAATTTTGAAGAATACAAATTAAAATTTAAACTTTTAACATTTCTAATAAGCAATATTTAAACTTTTACTCTCAATCTTCGATCTTAAAAACTTTTTATAGGTTAGTTGCTCACTAGCCATCACTTTTGTTAAAATAAAACGTAGTTATTTGACTAGATTCGTTTTATAGTTGGTCATTATTATTATTATTTTAAACGGTTGTGATGGATTGTAGGGAGGATACTTGCAGTACTAATTAATATAATAATAATATATTGTTATGTCTGGCTTAACGAATATTAGAGTGCATTCTTATATAAACAAAAGTATTCCAATTACACTCAACCTTATGTCAACCATTCCATAAAATTTAAAAATATTTGTGAGTACACAATTATTCGAGAATAGGATTTTTTGAATACAAGTGAAATTTGACGTTGCTTCGGATGGTTAAGTATAGGTAGGTACTACTATATTAGCGCAAGTAAATGGATATCTGTGTTATATCACTCAGATATTTTAACTTAACATGTTCAGAGGAGCTATTTGTGGGGCTCCGAAAAAAGTCAGTTTTTATGATAATCGAATTTATTGAATCATTTGTGACTATACTGCATCGAAAAGCACTAGGTAGGTAGGGTAGGTTAGGACGGTTAGGTTAGTGGCTTGCAAAGTGAATCAATGAAAAAGTCTCTGGCTCGGAAACAAAGTTTATTGTTTGCGCATCATTAGTCTCCATAGGTAAAAAAAAAAAACGGTTAGTGAAACGTGTATACCATCACAATTCATAAACTATAACTGATTTCGTATTTGGTCAAATCTTTTATGTCAAAACAGAAAAAAATCACATACTCAATCAAGACATCAATAAATAATCAATAATTATAGGTACCAGTATATACATATGTACTAGTCCAGCAGTTATAATTTGAAGAAAATACTATTCCTGTATAATACCATTCTTAAATTATTCCATTATGTGGAAATAACATTCCATATAAAAGACAATTCTAATATTCTTTCCTGTTAAATAGGTATATGTTATTGATTTAAAGAATTCCTCAGAACACCTTAGATAAAGTTGCTACCTCATAACTCTTGTTTGTCACTATTACAAATTACAAAACTTCTCAATAGTTTATATTAATGATATGACACTTCAACAAGGATCAACAATTTTTTATTTACTGACGACACCTTATTTTACACCTCATGCAACTCTAATACAGTGTCAACAAACAGAAAACTTCACGAGACCATAGTACTTACCATGATTGGAAAATAATCATAACCCTGTCAAAAACATCTACAATTTTATTTTATCTATACGACTATACCTATATTGTAAAGTGTAATGAAAAATGAAAAAATACGTTTTCGTCATCTCAAACATACAATTTTGATAATAATAGGTATTATCTGTTTAAAAAAGGTGTATTTCAACCACACTATAGATATAATTATTTAGTTTCGTCCCTATATTTAAATGTTAGTTATATTTATTATTTACATACTTTATATCAGTGAGCTATTATTTCCACACTATTGTATACTTACGCCCTACATATAAGGTACCTTCTATACCAAGTATAGTGGTTGAATAATCAACAGTAGTTTTTATTTCGTATTATCTACTCACCATAGCTATGGACTATATGACTAAAGTACGAGTAAATACAATAAGTTTGTTAATATGTTGTTATGATATATTGATACTCCCAAAGTTACAGAACGTTAAGTATAATTTATAATACGTATTTATATCTATACGGCTGTACATTATGTATAATTTATCGATTGTACGAACCTTTATAATTTTATTAATCGGACAGGTCGAGGAATTTGAATAATGGCAATACACATACGGACATGGGATCTGGTTCATCAATAAATACTCGTAAAAAAAATTGCCCTCATACGTTGAGTGTTTGGTTAGAAACCAATAAGAAGCCTCGCAATTTTCGTCCACTGGTTCGATTGCATTGTATTTTAACCGTCGATAGTCGATGAATAATGTATTACGGAACTCGGGAATCACCTAGAAGTATAATAACTACAATAATCTTATTTAAGTAGACCAATATCTCTATGTCTAATATATCTATAAGCATTATACGTACAATTAATGCGTAAATATAAATTATTATTAATATGCCTAATGTAGACTATAGTTAAATAATTCATATATATAGTGTAAGTACGTACTACCTACCTATATATTTCAAATAACTAAACATTATATTCACCTCCCCTGCTCTGCCTGGAAAAATTAAAATTAAAATTAAAGAATGAACATTCCTCACAAGCTGGGTAGGTCATAGTTTAGGACACAACTACATTATATGCACAGGGACGGGTGTAATATTATTGACTGTAATAATACATTTTATGTATATAAACACAATTAATGACAGGACATCGATGCTGTTGCAGGATAATGATGTACCTATATATCATATCGTTTCGCTTCATTCAACTTCATGTAATCCTGCAGTATAGTGTTGTAATATTATTCGTAAAATTGAAAACAATATAATATTATACCAAATATATCATTATTATAATATACAATATGCTCAGTAAAAAATAATATTAAGTAATTTACAAACATGTTATTTTGTTATCGAGAGAATATTAAAAAAAAAGTTAAAATTTATAATACTCCTTATTATATATGAACAAATCGTACGATGTAATGATGTATCAATATTATTTTATAAATGTCAATGATAGTACCTATAATAAATATTGTAGTCTTTCAGGGGAAAGTTAAATTTTGCCTAGATTCACCCTGGAGCACAACCAATGTAAATGAAATCTTGTTGATATTACTACATATATATTACCTATATAAAGATGCTTCTTTCAAAAATAAAAAATAAAAATTTAAATAAAAAGATTTTTATGGAAACCCATATATTTGTAGACTTATATGATCGCAAATTAGATATTGACATAAATAACATCAAATATATATTTTTAATACAATATGCAAAATGGTAAGTACCATATAAATATTGATATTTTTACTCACTTTGATTAACACAAATACAACCAACGGATTTGGGTGGAACACTGCTTTTATTCCTAAACTTATTTGATGTCTAGACGAATCATGCAGATGACTTGTACTGATATATCCTGCTATTACTTTGTATGGATTTTGAATTGATACATTCATAAAGCTTTTTAGTGTATACGAAAAATAATTGATTTTTTTTTAATCATAATATATCAATGGTCCATTATATTATAAATTATAATTATTTACCTGTCCTATTTAACTAAATAACTAAATCATAATCATAATAATAATAAAAAGAAAAAGAGAATATAGGTATGTATACATCAAAGTGATAGTTTTAAAAAGTTCAAAAAATATATATAATACATATATTACTAGTGTGTAGTGATTGGTGTAGAGTGAGTCAAACACCAACTTGCTGCCACTAAAACACAAGGACTATAATTCCATGGAACCATTAAAATACCCTGTAAATAAAACAAAATACAATCAACCGATGTTACCACATTGATTAATTATATTAAATAAAAATAATAAAGATTATATTTTATATTATATTTAATCATACTATGTATGGATGTTCTCCATTAAATGATGGGAAATCAAATATCTCTTTGTGGTTCATTTTATTTATATAGAATCTATTTTATTATAATATTATAATCTAATATTATTAGCTTGAAATATCTAATTCAAAAGCATAAAGCTACCATGTTTAATTCAAAAAATGTTGCCTAGCAATAAAATTCATGTTTCAATAACTATACTTAAGCATATTATAGTTTTATAATTTTCTGTAAGTACTAACTATTATAGAATTGGTTATGAGAGTTGACCCATGCTGTACATTAATGTACATAAATATCGTAAAACAGAAATATTAGGTTTATAGTGTAGTATTATATTAAATAATAATATATAAATCAAAAACATCATTGCGTAGAGTAAAAGTCCTCACGAGTAATGTTTTTAATGTTTAAAATAAAATAATAATTGACATCGTTATTTAACGTTAACATATACGTAATTTTGTTTAAATTAGAATTTATACAAATAAATAAATAAAAAAAAATTGCACCTATTTATTTTTAATAATTTTATATTGATATAAGAACAATTTTATGTGGGATATTGTATTAAATTTTTAAGAATTTTGACTTAAATAGCGAATATTTTTTTAACCAATTTATAAAAAAAAAAATTAAAGAAATAATTTCTCATGTCAATACATTTTAGAGTTAAACCATTTTTAAAATTATATCATGTATATAAAATTATGATATAAACTTTTGTGAAGCAAAACGTAGAAATTAAAAATAATAATTATATAATACTAAAGCATAAAATTTTGTATTAAATTTTCAAACTTTCAGCATGGAGTGACAAAATAAACACTTTGATTATTTTAATACCTAGTTTACCATTGAAGGCTGTTAGAACTAATAAATTATTTTCATCTGGATATTTATAAAACACCTAATCACATCAAATAAAACTTGATATATAATTTATCAATAAAAAAAGTTGTTGGTTAACTATTAAACATATAATTAGTAATTACTAATTAGTATATAAAATATATAGGTACATAATATACATATATAAACACAAACACGAAGTTACGTAATTTTTACGGTTACCGATTGAAAACCAAATGTAGATGTTTTTGTGAATAAGCTCAAAAGAGATGACGAGCGAAAATCTTACGTTTTAATTGTTATATACCATACTTATATTTCTATACATAGAACATGCTCGCTTTATATATATATGCATATATCGATGTATCGTAAATGATGGAGTAATGTAGTTTTTATATTATTGTAACACGGGTCCGTCATATTATTTATTTTTATTTTTAAAGTTTTCTTGACATTAATCATCTAAACGTAGGTAGTTTACAATTATGTTACACACAACAATTTATACAATCATGCAAGATAAATTGTATTCAAAATAATAGAAAAGTTAAATTAGCTAATTTAAAACGTCGTTGGGACCAGTGGTGTAATTACGATTTTGTTCTGGGGAAGGGGTGATATATAATTAATATTCCAGATTTTGAAATCACCAAACCGGAACATCATATTGAATTATATGATATGGAAATAGGAAGTAAGGATAATCTTTTTTTAAAGCTCTGGGGATCTATCCCCAATATTCTCCCCTCCCCCGTGTTTACGCCCACGGTTGGGATACTTACGTTGGAGTTCTGCGTCTGTTAGGACGAACATTCAGTCTGAATTGTTGTGGACGGCCATATTATAATATGCATGTATTTTTTATGAAGACAGTAAAAAAAAAAACTTTAAATCACTCGAATTTGCAGTGCAGATATAACTAGGCATCGGCGGATTTGTGTTGAAACAATTGTTTCAAATTGTTTTTTTTTTCAATTCATTTGGCTGTATAAAATTTCAACGTAAATTAAGTTATATTGCATGTTTAAACCACGAAACTATAGATATTATACATATAATAATAATAATAGTAATAATAATACAAGGTAATAGGTATATTATAGACATATGGGTACCAGGTATACGTGCACGCACCTGGAGATAGATTATTATACCTAGGTATCTACAGTAAATATATTGTTATGAGCGTTCCACTCGGTTCAACACCTGCCGCGCGCATGGTGGTACCTAGGTAGTGATCGTCAGACAGACAGCAGACTGTAGTAATAATATTATACCTAGCTACTAGCTAGTCGCAGTCGCGCGGCAGACCGTTTATATGGCACATGCGTGTTCGCAGTAATAATCGCAATACCGCCTTCGTCGTCGTAATAATATAATATCGTTTGAAAAATTTGTCAATAATTTTGCCATAAATATGATCTACGGTTAATCATAACACGTCATGTTCGATATTTGATACAAAATTCATAGTTAATATGACTTGACGCGAATGTAGTGCGTATTCGTGTGAGTGTGTTTTGTTTTTTTGACGTGCGTGTGCCGTTGCAACCGCGCCTCTTTAACGTTTTAATATTATCATAATATTCAGGTATATTGTATAAAATATGCCTTTGTTCAACCGGAAAACCGTGCAAAAGATCAAGGACGACCCGGCCGCGGTGCAAAACAAGCACAACGAACACGATGATCAAGTGAAACAAAATTTGGTGTTCCACTGCCAACAGGCCCATGGAAGTCCGACGGGACTGGTGTCGAACTTCTCCAACGTCCGTGAACTGTACCAGAGAGTTGCCGACTGTTATGACTTTCCTTCGGACGAAGTAAGTTCAATACCAACCTACCTGATTATCACGTCAATTAAACGTTAATTCTACACGTGCATCATCATTAAGTTGTAATTTTTTAACTATCGGTCAGGAATACATTGTTGTTATTTTGATTTTGTCGTCTCGTTGGCGCACACCACATATTCAGCATATAATTTTTTACACGTAGTACGTATATATAATTTTTTTTTTTTAAAATTGGCGTTTATGAGTTTCCGGACCGGAAGACAGCTGTATGTGCTATACTTCCAACGCGATGGTGGAGAGAACAAATACCGTTCCGGTTAAAGGGACACCGGAATCATTGGCCATAACGCGTAATCCCCAGCTATACACTACAACAGTATAAACATAAACAATATATAGTGAATGCAATTTTTGCCGACTGGAAAACGCTGAGAGATTTAAGAATTTAAAATAGCTTTTCGTCACACTTTTATCATTTTTATGCGTCATCAATATAATATATATTATACACACTATAACTGACTCACTGACTTTACTTATTAGTTTACATAGCAAAGTAATCTTCATAATTTTGTTTCAAAATTAATAGGTGTTGTAAAAATAGTATTCATTATACTAAATAATATTGAATACATGACAATGGACTGCACGAGATAAGGCAGCTTTAAAATTTTTTTTTCTGTTTTCCAAAAAACTGAATTTTAATGTTTTATACTTCAAACTTTAAAAAAAAAAAATGCTTGAGTTTTATATAATTATGAAAACTTAAAAATGTATTATAATATCGAACAAAATTGTATTTGCGGAACTTCGCATTACGATTTCAATTAAATATATTTTGATACTTAATAAATAAAAATCGACATTAAAATTATAAGCTATATTATTACTTATTGTTAAGATTCAAATTTAAATACCCTAGAAGTTACCAAAAAATGCTCAAAAATGTAACCAATAATTTCCTTAAAAAATAACCAAAAGTTTTATATGTTCATACAATTATGCAGACAATAGAAAACATTGGTTTAACTTCCGGCATTTTTATTTTTATTTTTATCGTAACAATAATGAATATACATAAATAAAATATCAAATACAAAGGTAGGGCTGTATCTAGTGGGGGGGGGGGGGAACTTGGGGCACTTGTCCCGGAGTCTTGGACGGGGGGGCACCAAATTACCAAATATAAGAGGATATATTAAAAGTTTTTATTCATTATATAATGAGTATAAATATATAAATTACAATTTTCATTTTTTCTTCAATAGAGTAACTAGTAGATAAATATAATAGTGGCAAAATTAAGGAGGGCTGAATATGAAAGGGCGCTAATTTTATACTTTGCTCCAAGTAAAAAATATGCTAGATTCGGCCGTGCATAATATAATAAATAAACCGTAGATAGTTATCCTGTAAATAAATGTAACCACGATGTATTTCCAACTTTCCAATTAGTTGTTTTTTCAGTATTTGTTTAAGTCCGGGTAAGACACATCCAATAATCGTTGAATATAGATAAAGACGTTATTACATTGATTTATAGTAGAATAGAAATCGACATTTGGTATGGATAAAAAATACCTAAAACTATTAAAGTAAAACTATTTTGAAAACAATATATTATCTTAACAAAATATTTTGAATTTCTTAATTTACACTAAAAGCTTATGTAATGTTTTAATATATACACTAAAATTTATAAAATGATAAAAAATATTTGAAAAATAGAAAAAAATTAAAAAAACAAAAAAAAAATACAGAATATAAGTTTCATTTTTAAAGACTTTGTTGCATAAAACAAATTATGTACCAACTTAGAAAACTCAAAAAATAATTCACTTTGCATTTTAATCCAAGTCTTATGTATTATGACTATTTTAATTTTAACTATTGTTCAAGTATCATAAAAACTAACCAATTCATTTCTAAACAAGTATAAAATAATATTATTAATACTTGTCTAGAAATCGAGTTCTAAA